TCATTTTACAACTCAAAAATAGCTATGGCTAAAAATAAGCAAAGGAACCTAAGTCAGTAATTTTTTAAATGGTAGATTTTTTGTTTAGCAAAATCTATTATGTATTTGTATCTAATGCATTGCAGGGAGTCAGTGGATGCAAGTGGCTCGACCGTTCTTTATGGTAATCTCAGCCAGTTTCAGCCTGTGAGGGAGGCATAGGCATCCCCCACAAACGTCTACTGCTGTACTTATGTAATTTTTTTTTATGATTGATAATGAAATGGTAACCCCGCCTGCGCTATCGGTATACACTGGCGGGGCACTAGTGAGAGATGATAGGTGAGAATGAAAAAGCAGGTCAATTAGCCCATCGTGATGAATTCACTTGAAATTCAGCACGATGGTTTCTTGGGGGGACCACGCGGAGGTCGACCTTTTTGGGCGTATTGCTAACAATGAGACTGGTAGTCCGCATTATTAACAACCCCCCCCCCCCCTCTGTACTTATGTACAGAATAGGTACAGCAGTGGACGGACAGCACACACACACAGACATATGGATACAGTAACGCCAGAGATGAGAATTTATATCTAAGATTAGAAAGACAAAATTAATTTTCTTTGTGTTAAATCGATTAAAAAATACCTATAGAAAGCTACGTTAACAGCGTGTAACGTAACGTGTGCCGTATTTTATTAAAAAAAAAAACTCGAACGAAGACAGAGCGGTTTGCTAGTTATATATCCATTTATAAGCCATTAACTGTCCACTGCTGAACATAAGCGTCCTCCTTGGAGGAGTTTTGCCAGTAGTTGCCATGCTTGGTAGGCGGATTGGCAACCGCAGTTAAGTTTTGGAAAGGTTTTAAAAGGAACGCTACTGCTTATACCTCGCTCTTTCTTAGACGGTTTTTACGACATCCGTGGGAAAGGAAGGGGTGGCCTAGTATATGCCGGGACAACACGGCAAAATATGCCAGCAGTATAGTTATATATATTATACAGTACAGCAGTATAGTTATGTATGTGTAAATGTTTTGTTTTATTTCTTTAAAAACGTACCAATAGCTAAAAAATTCGTGTTTGACACCAATAAGAAACCGTACAAAATACGCATTTACTTTTTGAAGTCTACACAATACAAGCTACAAATAAATGAAGCACCATGCTATTTGTAACACGTTCGAACGCCATAAAACAGATACGTATTTAATATCGATGTAAAGTCAGCAATTTACATAAATCCAGCCCGTGATAAGTGTGCGCCGTGCGCCCGTTCGACGTACAGCCGCGTAGCCGGCCTATTAACATTTTGACTTTCGTAAGGGCTGATCACAGACAGATTAAATACGTAATACACAAGTTCGTGACATAGCCGGTGTTCCCACAAGAATATAGGGACTTATCTATGCTCACTTATCAGTGTTGCGTGCAATGAATTTTATTGAAGTAATTTTAACTGTGAGATTGACAACCCTTATAAAGTTGTATGGATTTTTAGATCTGCTGTGTATGCAATAAATGAGATGTATAATGTATTGTTTTTTTTTCAATGGGTGATAATGGAATGGTAACCCCGCCTGCGCTATCGGTATACGTTGGCAGGGTACCAGTGAGGGATGATAGGTGACGATGAAAACAGGTCAGTTAGCCAATCGTGACGAATTCCATTACAATTAACCACGTTGGTTTCCTGGGGAAACCGCGTGGAGGTCGACCTGATAGGGTGTATTGCTAGCATTGAGTCAGTTAGACCCCATTACTAACAATCCCTTTCCCCCTGTATGATGTATTAATAGACGGAAAACAATTTAATGTGATTATTTCTTGTAATTGTTTATATCTATAATAAGTTCACTATTGTAATATTTTGGGGGAAACAATAAAGAGTATCTATCTATCTATCTAAATTTTTATAATTTCAAAATAATTTCATTCGATGATTTCGAAAATATTTATAATAACGTCAAATCTCTCATAAATCTATTTTTCTTTTTAATGGACGGTAATGGAATGGTGACCTCGCCTGCACTAACGGTATACGCTGGCGGGGCATCAGTGAGGGATGATAGGGGAGAATGGAAAGGCAGGTCAGTTAGTCTATCATGATGAATAAATCTGGAATTCAGCATTAAGGTTTCTAGGGGGAACCACGTAGAGATCGTCCTGTCAGGGTGTATTGCTAGCAATGGGACTGGTAGTACGCATTACTAACAATCCCTTCCCCCCTCATAAACCTATTTTAGCTATTGAAATGTTTTATTATTTTCATTTTTGTTTGCGGTTCCAGAGGAAATTTCTTTCTCTTTCAGTTGTCTCCTAAGACATCCACGGGAAAGGAAGGGGTGGCCTATTCTATGCAAGGACCACAAATATACCAAACCAAACGTAAAATATCCATGTACAAAAAACAATATTTATTAAACGGATATTATACGGCTTCAAAACTTTTATTATTTTCGACAGTAAAGTCTGTATTGTCTTTTATAATTTGTGTAAAAAAAAAACAAAGAAAAATTTTAAATTATTTAACACTTTTATGGCACAACCGTATATTTTCTTAGTAAACATATATACATAAATAGTCATACGAATTTCTCACTTGAAGAATGCCTTACGGAAAAGTCACTGAACATACTCTACTACCATCAATTTCCTGCATCATCAATCATTTAAGGTCATCATTCCTGTGTCTGTTCATTAAAAACCATTTTGCTCGGATTTTATGTCTTGCCAGGATTAAATTAACTATAAATAATTAATCTATACATTAATATGTGAAGCAAAAACTTTGTACCCCTTTTTACGAAAATTACGCTGACGGAGGATGAAATTTGGCACACTTATAGTTTATATAGAAAAGGAGTACAGAATGCTAATATTGTTTTTAAAATTATATATAAAATACATTAAATCAATAAAAAAAAAAATCATTATACACACTATCATGTATTTGACGCACACACGCATATATACCCATTTGTTTATTGCTAAAGTCTATGGTCAAATTGAGAATAGATTAATATTGTTTGTCTGTTAATATTATTTGTCTACAGTCTTACTGAATGTCAAACATAACCATAATAAATACATTTATTACAATATATGTTATGTTATGGTCGAATTTCGACCACTAGTTATAATAAAATGATATGAAGACATCTCGAATTTTATAGATGGTGAAATAAACCTGGCTCTCTAGACAAGTAGCAAGCGAATTTGTCGATGGAGTCGACATCGCTACCTAATTCCTGAGTTGGAATGAGACATCCGGTGTTGCTATCTCATTCTGTCTCACGGACTCGCTAGCGTCGTCAATTCCATCGACGAATTCGCTTGGCACTAGTCTAGAGGGCCTGGTGGTCAAACGACAATTCAAACTACAAAGATAATAGTAGGTGAAAGGAATTTACCGTCCAATCGTGATAGCAAGATAATTAGAATTTCTTGATCTCTATCACACTCTACGGTGTATCGCGTGAAAATATACTTGCTCGCCCCATTTTATCAACGGCCGTCTCTCACCACCCCTCACCACTCTTACAAGCTCGAGATTGTGGGAAAAAGTTCATTGCGCCGTTCCTTAGAGACTAATTATTCAGTCTCTGTTAAATCTATTTTAATTACATCAACAGTGGGGAGGGGGGAGGGTTAGTAATGAGTTCTAACAGCCCCATTGTTAGCATATTCAAAATTCCCCTTATGGGGAAGGCTGAAATAATAATAATAATAATCCATATTTTAAATACTCTATCGGTGCTTAATGCGACAACAGGATCTGCACGTGATCCCGTCGTGATCACGACGTGGTGCAATCCACGTCGAAACGTCGGCAATAAAGAAGCAGGTATGTAAGTACTATTTACCTGTAAATGCTTTTACATAGCGTTAAGTCCCGATTGTGGATTTAAAATATGTGTAAACAACGCGAAAGTTTAAAGTTAACCATTGCCAGCAATTTAACTGTAGTTTTTGCGTAATGCCGAAACAAACATACAGACAGACTGGCAGACAGGAAAATATTCTAAAAAATAAAGTTTTGGCATCTATCGGTTTTATTACGGTCATACGGAGGGAGACTTTGTACGAAAGTCGATTGCTTGGATACCTCCGTCCCATTCGTGTTTCTACCGTGAAGCAGTTGTGTTTGCATGGCTGTGTTTCGGTTTGAAGGGTGGGATATGGCGTGAATTTACAGGGTACAGAGGAATAACATCTGAGTCCTCAGGAATGGTAACGCATGGGGGGTATGGGCGAAACAGTATACTCTGTTATGTCCATGGTACTGTTCATGTCTATAGGCGACGGTTACCACTTTGCATCAGGTGGGCCGTCAGCCATTCTAATTCTCTCGTTGCCATTCTAAGTTGTATAAAAAAAATCATATTCATTTGTCTTAAATATTTCCCATGTACAGTCATCTAGTTTAGCAATAAATTTATTACATTAATGAAGCTTCTTTATTTTGGGGACATCAGATTTTCTGGGGACTCAATGTTGAAACCACAGTAGAAAAGTCCAAAGAAGTCTTTACACATGTTCAAAATCTCCCATTTAAGAGACCCAGAAGGAGCTATCCACTCTTATCTACTCTTAAGCGACAATCGTTGTCGTTTCTAAACCGATAGTGATACTTCTTTTTGAAAATGATGGAATTTAACCTCTTTGTTTTGATCCTCTAACAATTTAGTTGCTATTGACGTCGCTATTATGCAGTACAATTGCAAATTATTTATATACATTTTATATAGGAATCAAACTAGAGTTTAACTGTAGTTTTATTAAGTCCTTTTTTAATTTAAACTAAATCTCTGAAATACTATTTACCTAAAATTAAAAAATATATGTGTCATTGAGTGTAAATAAATATTATTTTTTTTAATAAATCATTAAAAAAAAATCATATTAACGTCATTTTACGATTATAATAATAACTGTGTATATAAAATAATATATAGTAATTATTCATTCAATTATATACATGTTGTTAATATTGTCTTATGTATTTATATTTTTACCTGAATTTGCTAAACGGCTGCTTGTAGGTCCAAACATTTGATATGGATCTGAAAAAAGGGAAAATATAAATTAATTTATTTAATTTACTTAGTCTATTTACTCAGTGTAAAACTGTAAAGAGGTTACGATTAATAAATAAATGAAATCGACTGTCAAAATAGAATGTTCCAATATCAGAATTTAACATGTTAAATTCAACAAAAGCACGAGCAGACAGGGTTTTGAAAAGTCAATACAGATAATAAAAAAGTTACAACCAAATCAGCTGATCGATTATTTTATAGCATTCTATATGTGATTCTTTAGACTGATATAACTTTTTTATTTATGAACCGATTTTATTATTGTTAATTATTATATTACTGAAAATAATACGATCTTTTCATACAATTTTGCGTGATAAATAGTTATATTTATTTTGCCTTATAAATTCTGCACTTTGTTTAATGCGTAAGAACTCATTTGATTCATTAAGTATGGAAATTCGAATAACAAATTTGAATGAAGTAAACAACTTTCAAATCAAATAACAAACACGACACAAAGGTTAAGTTAGATTCCTTTGTCTCACGGATCGAGATTAACAGCCACATTTCAGTCTCGACTCGCTAGATAACAAGACAATCAAACTGTAAAGATAGCGTCGCCATGGCAACGCACCAACAACACACCGACGAAAAACTTCGATACTGTGCATAGATTGCATTACAAATAGCCCTAATGAGCACAAGGGGACTGCAATCTGCATTAGCATAGATACGTATACCTACTTGTGGCTGTCAGCGGCAGTTTGTCTATGGGGCACACGTGTGAATAGTTCATGTAAATCAATATGATATATATATATATATATATATATATATATATATATATATATATATATATATATATATATATATATATATATATATATATATATATATATATATATATATATATATATATATATATATATATATATATATAAGAAATAAAAGAAAGTACATAAAAGAGTTTATTCAATTTCTCGTGAGTGCGCCAAAGTAACACAAAATGGTCACAATTCAGTTCATCGCTTTGCCCTCAAAAGAGCAAAACACTGATATTCTCTTGTGGCTAAAAGCTAAAAGCCAGTCGCGAGAATTTTTTAATAAAATAATAATAAATATATATAAATGAATTTAACTGATTGTGTGTGACTATTCAATATTTTAATCTAAATCAACAAATGAAAGATACCATTAGAAATGGGGTAGCCAGGTAATCTAGAGGAAGACTTTGTACAAAAGTCGATTGCTTGGGTACCTCTGTCCCATTCGTGTTTTAACGGTAAAGCAGTTGTGTTTGCATGGCTGTGTTTCGGTTTGAAGGGTGGGATATGGAGTGAATTTACTGGGTACGGAGGAATAACACCTGAGTCCTCAGGAATGGTAACGTATGGGGGGTATCATGAACGAAACAGTATACTCTGTTATGTCCACGGTACTGCTCATGTGTATAGGCGACGGTTACCACTTTCCATCAGGTGGGCCGTAAACTTGTTGGCAATCTAAGTTGTATAAAAAAAAATCACATTCAAGCAATAAATATTTCCGCTACATACCTATTAGGTATTCCAATTTTTTGTTTATTAAATAAAACCGTGATCTATGGTAAATTGTATACTCGTAGACATAACGTTATATCATGTTAACAACTTAAATTATATAGATAGAGCATCGAGCCTCAAAAACGCGTCATCTTTTTGTCAGGTAATTGTCAATTTTTTCTTTTTTAATGGGTGAAAATGTCTAAGTAACCCTGCCTTTGCTATCGGTATACACTGGCGGGGTACTAGTGAGGAATGATCGGTGAAGATGAAAAGGCAAGTCAGTTAGCACATCTAATGTCAGCTGTTAATTGGGATTCGTTCCTTTAATACGTATTTAAACTAGGTACATTCATTTTACAATCAGTATATAATCTAAAATTTCATCCCAACCATCTGGACGAGTGGCGGTCCTCCACTGTGCACTTTTCAAGGCACTTTCTCCCACGCACAACCACTCTTTGGAATCAACTTCCAGCAGCAGTTTTTCCGAACCGATACGACAACATAACCTTCAAGAAAAGAGCATATTCCTTTTTGAAAGGCCGGCAGCACACCTGCAATGCCGTAGGTGTTGTGGGTGACCATGGGCGGAGGTACTCACTTACCATCAGGTGAGCCGCATGCTCGTTTGCCCCCTGTGTTGTAAAAAAAAAACAAAATTATCGGGCCAAATTTAATTCAAATCAATTCAGTCGTTTAAGTGTGATTGAATAACAAATATCTAAAACATACAGTCAGTGTTACAAACTTTCATATTTATAATATTAGTTGGATGAAAAAGTCAAGCGAAGGGCAGACTGTCACAATTATTGTTTCATTCTACTTTTATCTACCTTGTTTTACATTATTTCAAAAATTAAAAGTTTGATTGTAACTAAAAAATATTTTAGCATCAAGTAAAAGTTCTGTTTTTTTACGCTTTGATCTCAATGATGAAACTTCTAAACTTTAAATTACATTTTTGTTGCCATCGATTTATTAGGACATTCACTGTTCTTTGTCTGCACCCTTCAAGTACATATTGCTAAACATTTTGTGCCGTGAAAATGCGACTTCAGTTATGAACATCCACTGTTTGAATTTAGAACGAGAAACAGATCTTTGAATTTAGTAGACGGAATAGATATTTGAATTCAGAACGAGGAACATACAATTGAATTTAGTAAAAGGAATAAATATTTGAATTTAGAACAACGAATACAGAGACTTTGCTTCGCAATAAGCAATTTTTGCTTGTCACCAGCAGCTTCAATCGCTGCACAATTAATATCGAATCAAACCCCATCAATCACAAAATAAATGTAAAAATTTCGCGACTTAACATTGTCACAGAAACAAATTCAGATGAATGGGGAACTTTATTTTGGTAGTCATTTTTTTCAATTGATTTTATAAAGAAGTAGGAGTTACTTTACAGTTGTATTTTTATATTTTACTGTCAATTCTAAATCGAATTACTCAAAGATTGATTTCATATAAATTTATCAAAATCGGCTCAGTAATTTAATTTTTAAACCAAAAAATAACTGGTTTCGTCGCATTTAAAGTATTTTTTTTTGTGGGACACAATCTAATTATTACTATATTTAAGCGCATTTGACCACAGTCTCAACTGACCTTAACTGACGACAGGATATTAGCTGTTAACACAAACCCAAGTAATGCCTATCCACTCTTATTATTATTATTTTCTCTTTATAAAAAACAAAATAAATCTACAGTACAGTACAGTACAGTACAGTACGGTCGAATCAAATTATCATTTTGCAATGATATAGTAATTACAGTCAATCCGTAGAGTGCGTGCTGTAACCCATACTTTCCTGCTACAAAACTCTAATAAAAACTCCGCATAATAATTTTACACATTACACACGGGCTGGCTATGCAAATCGTAGTAATAATTTCTCAGCACATTCAAATTGAAACAAAAGCGCCCCCTAACGACGTTCGCGCCTTTGTTATAATGTAATAAAGTAGTTATTATAACTGTTAATGACACTCGAGTTAGCTCTTGGACTATAAAGCAGGGTGTTGTGTCGAATTGTATAATTCACAAAAGTATTCTGGTCACCACCGCGCTCTGCGGCTCTTGAGGCAAATAAATGTGGGATGAAAGATTAATATACCTACCATTCATTTAGCCCTAGTTACAATTTATTATCTGTTGCGTAATTAATATCTGTGATATTTGAATGTAAGAATACTGGATTATCTTATGTGTAGGTATTTAACATAGGGGGCAGGGGGGAAGGGATTGTTTATAATGGGATCTAACAGCCCCATTACTAACAATACACACTATCAGGTCGATCTCCACGTGGTTCCCCCTGGAAACCTCCGTGGTTACTTCTCGTGGAATTCTTCACGATGGGCTAACTGATCTGCTTTCATCCTCGTCTATCATCTCTCACTGGTGCCCCGCTAGCATATACCGTTTGTCAAAGCGGTATTACCATTTCATTACTATCCATTAAAAAAGCGACCTTAGTTCTCGGGAATGGTAACGCATGGGGAGTCTCATTGGCGAAACAGTTATTTGAAATCTCTGTTATGTCCATGGTACTGTTCATGTTTATAGGTAAAGGTTACCACTTTCCATCAGATGGGCCATCAGCTTGTTTGTCATTCTAGGTTGCATAAAAAATAGTAGGTAATTTATGATATGCATCATAATAAAATCATTATTTCACCTTCTTGACTTTATTTTATATATACACAAATAAAATAAAAAATTGAATAAATTTATTTCTTAATTACTTTTTATAAGTTTAGTCGCATTATAAATTTTTGAACGTACCTTATCTGACGGGTACGAACTGTTTGTATGAGAAAATAAAATTATTGTTTTTACTATATACCTACCTCACAATTTCATCATATTTTTTCACCTTTTGAACATACTTTAGATTTATATAAATTTTTCAAAACCAAAATTCGCTAAATCAATATACTTACATCAAGATTTGACGTTAGTAGTTATTTAAAAGATGCAAATTTAAAGTAAGGAATGCGGTAGACAGGGAATCGATTTTGGTAAAATATTTATTTTTATAAAAACTTTATATAATATTTCGATCTGTATATATATAAACATTTATTATTTATTACCAAGACAGACATTTTTTTTGTATCTTGATATATCTTTCTTAGTTATGAAATAAATTTCTGAACGCACTATAAATATTTGACAACATACGAATATGTTATTTTTCTCTTTTGTGACTTTGTCAATCATATGTAACTCCTTTACTAGTTTAATTAAATGTATAGATTTGGTCAGGAACTATCATGCCAACGTTTAATTAAATGCTGATATCGCAAAAGTGTCAACTTAATTAACAAAAATATAACGGGAATTACAACTATTTGTAATTAATATTGACTCTATTATGAGGTAGTGCCTCTAAAAATCGGCCAGATATTATTGAAACTGTTGAAAACTTGTGTTCACTATCAATAATATTATGAAATTGA